ACTTTCATAAAGCAAGTTTCAGGAGATACCAGGAGAAAAAGACACAAATGCATTAGTAGTAGGAGACTTCTAATTCACTGTTTTTGATCCAGGACAGGTCAAGTGGGAAAAAAATAAGGATATAGAAGACCTAAACAGTTAAGTTGGTAGGGTAGATTTGATTAGTATATATTGAACTCAGCCCTGAAAACACAGCACGTCTTCTTTTTAGGTCTCATGGAACATTCACAAAAACTCCTATATAGGGCCCTAAAGAAAACTTCAATAAATTTCATAAAGGAGAAATAGTACAGAAAAACCACAATGCAGTAAAAATAAAGGCCCTTTCACTTGAATATTAAATTCAAACAACTCTTGAATTAATGGAGAATACAAATGGAAATTGTAGGATGTATAGATGATCATAGAAATGAAAACACTAGGAACGTGTGAGGTCTAGCTGAAGCAAGGCTCAGAGAAAATTCAAAGCCTTAAATACATCAATAAAGAAGAAATAATAAAAATGAGTAAGTTAAGCATTTAACTCAAAAAGTTAGAAAAAGAACTAAGTAAACCAAAAGAAGATAGAAGGAAGGCATTAATAAAAATAAAAGCAGAAATTAGTGAATTAAAAAACAAAAAGAGTAGAATAAATAAATCCAAAAGTTGGGTCTTTGAAAATACTCAGTAAAGCAGACACGTAACTAGCTAAGCTGATCAATTATAAGTCTGTGTTGTTCAAGACTAAGGAAGTAAATCAGAAAATCTGTAAAAAAAAAATAAAGGGTTATCATAGGAAAATATAATTTCCCAAAAATAACCTTGAATAAAGAAAATTCGGATAGATCAATTTCTATAGAAGAAATAGAGAAAATTTCCAAAGGGGCAACTCCAAGAAAGCACCAGGCCCAGGTGTGTCACAGGAGAATTCTTCTAAATCCTTAAAGAAACAGTAACTCCAATGCTGCTAATGAAACTATTCCAGAATAGAAAAGAAGGAAAGCTCCCACATTTTTTTGTAAAGCAAGTATAACATTGAGATCAAACTCCGACAAAGATTGCACAAAAGAAGAAAACTGTGGACTCACTCTTACTTAAGACTATAGAAACAAAACTCTTTTAATCAAATGGAGTCTAGCAGCACTTTATTGGAATAATATGTCATAATCAAGAGAAGTTTATTCAAGATATGAAAAGATGGTTCAATATTAGGAAATCTATTAGTATATTTTGTTTTATTGATAGACCTAAGGACAAAAATCATGTGGTCATCTCCAATTATCTAATGAAAAGCATTTGACAAAATTCAACACCCAATCTTTATATGTAGTATTCAATATAACAGTAATCAATGGCTGTTTCCTTAAATTATATACATTTATATCTATATGAATGTATGTATGTGTGTCTCAAATACCAAAATCATGCTCAATAGTAATAGAGTAGGTTTTTCCACTAAAGAAAGGAACTACTGTTTAATATGGAACTACAAATACTAGCCAACTCGGACAAGAGAAAGAAATTGGAGGAATAACAATTCGAAGCAGGGAAGTAGCTGTCACTGTTGGCACATAATATGAATGTATATATGGAAAACCCAACAGAATCTACTGAAAAACTACTCCAAAAAGAATTCAGTAAGATAGCAGGATACAGGGCCGGCGCCGTGGCTTAGTGGTTAAGTGCCCGCGCTCTGCTGCTGGCGGCCCGGGTTCGGATCCCGGGCGCGCACCGACGCACCGCTTCTCCGGCCATGCTGAGACCATGTCCCACATACAGCAACTAGAAGGATGTGCAACTATGACATACAACTATCTGCTGGGGCTTTGGGGGAAAAATAAATAAATGAATAAAATTATTAAAAAAAAAAGATAGGATACAAAATTAATAGAAATCATTAGCCTTTATATAACAACAACAAGAAGATAGACAATATAATGGAAGAAAAAAAAGCCACATTTACAAACAAACCAAACGATTAAAAAATTAGGAATAAGCAAACACAATATATCAAAAGATTTAAAACAATACTGAAAAAAAGAAGACTTGAATGAAGAGAAATTAATTTATTAATTCAATGCAGATTCAATAAAAATACTAACATTCTCTTTTTTCTGGAATTAGACAAAAACTATTGTAAAGTTTATGTAGTAAAATAAACAGTAATAGCAAGGAAAACAGAGGGAGTGGGAAGCAATGGATAGGGGTTATTGAAATCATACTCATATAAAGCCTCAGTATTTAAAACAGTGGAGTGCCGGGCCGGCCTTGTGGCTTAGCGGTTAAGTGCGTGCTCTCCGCTGCTGGCGGCCCAGGTTCGGATCCTGGGCGCGCACCCACGCACCGCTTCTCCAGCCATGCTGAGGCCGTGTCCCACATACAGCAACTAGAAGGATGTGCAGCTATGAAATACAACTATCTACTGGGGCTTTGGGGGAAAAAAAAGGAGGATTGGCAATAGATGTTAGCTCAGAGCCAGTCTTCCTCAGCAAAAGGAGGAGGATTAGCATGGATGTTAGCTCAGGGCTGATCTTCCTCTCAAAAAAAATAAAAAATAAAAAAGTTGTTTTTAAAAAAAAAAAAACAGTGGAGTGCCTAGCTTATAAATGAACAAAACGGACATAAAGAGTGGAAATCCAGAAATACACTTAAATATATACAAAGTGTAAATCCTAACCTACATTCTAATACATAGAGGAATATAAACCTAAATAGTAAATCCAGAAAAAAAACCTAAATACAGGAAGTTAGTACATGATAAAGGTGATATCTAAAGTTAGTAGAAAAAAGACTTTTCAATAAATGGTTTGGGAGTAATAAGAAAAAAATTAACTTTGAACATACATTGTATTCCAGAATATACTCCAGATGAGTCAAAATTTAAATGTAAAGAATAAGCCATAAATGAATTTGCTAGAAGAAAAATATGGGTAAATTTCTTCATACCTTGGCATGCAGAAGTTCTTTCTAACTAAACAAAATTTAGAAACCATTTTTTAAAAAGTGATAAATTTGAATATAAAACAATAAAAATCATGGTACATCTATACAATGGAATATTCTTCAGCCTTAAAAAGAAATGAGCTATCAAGTTACAAAAAGATGTGGAGGAACCTTGAATGCCTATTGCTAAGTGAAAGAAGCTAATCTGAAAAGGCTACATAGTGTATGATTATAGCTAAATGACATTTTGGAAAAGGCAAAACTATGGAGACAGTAAAAAGATCTGTGGTTGCCGGGAGGGAGGAGAGAGGAGGGACAAAGGACAAGAGAGATGAATAGGTGGAGCACAGAAAATTTTTAGGACAGGGAAACTTCTGAGTGATACCATAATGGTGGATACGTGTCGTTAACCGTTGTCAAAACCCATAGAATGTACAACATAGTCAACCCTAATGTCAACTGTGGACTTTGGTTGATAATGCTGTGTCAGTGTTGGTTCATTGATTGTAATAAACATACCACTGCGGTGCAGGATATTGAGAGGCTGTGGTTGGGAGGATGCGGGGGTGTGCGGGAGGGATGTGGGAACTCTCTAAACTTTTGACTCAATTTTTCTGTGAAACTAAAACTGCTCTAATAAATAAAATCTATTTTTAAAAAATCAAAATCTTGTGAAAGGTAAAAAATATATCGTAAGCAAAATCAAAAGATAAAGTCTGACAAACTAATAGAAAAATGGGCAAATGATATAGACAAGAATAAACAGAAAAGGGACAGAGAAGGAAATATGGATAACTCATAACCATATAAAAAAGATGCTCAGGGCCGGCCCTGTGGCTTGGTGGTTAAGTGCGCGCGCTGCAATGCTGGTGGCCCGGGTTCGGATCCCGGGTGCGCATCGAGGCACCACTTCTCCGTCCATCCTGAGGCCGAGTCCCACATACAGCAACTAGAAGGATGTGCAGCTATGACATACAACTATCTACAGGGGCTTTGGGGGGAAAAAATAAAATAAATAAAATCTTTAAAAAAGATGCTCAACATTATTTATGGTTTGAGAAATACAAATTATAACTATACAGAGCTGACATTTTTCACCTATCATGTTGGTAAAAATCTAAAAGTGTTACAGAAAAAACAATTGTTACTCTGGTATGTAGGGCGGAAACGACGCGTATATTACTCTGGCGAGTGTGAAAGGTTGCCATGGAGGGCAACTTGACAATATCCATCAAAATTCAAATTGCGTTTATCCTTTAACCCAGCAGTTTTACTTCTGGAAATTTATAGGTAACCTTGCCTGTGAATGAAATAACATGTCCAACGGCCATTTATTTCAGCTTTGTTTGTAAAAATGGCAAAAGATTGGAAACAACTCAGGTGTCCATCAGTAGCAGACTAAGTAATTAAATTATGGTACATCTTACAGTGCCATACTGGGCCATGTGAATGCATTTATGTAAAATAACAAACATTTTTTTAAAGCTATAGCATAGTACCTCTTGACTTTTTCTACCAAAGTAACTTTAACAGAGAGAATATGTAAACGAGTGGTATATGGCATTGGAGCTTGGAGTGACCACTTTTTAAAATATTTCTGCTTTATCTTTAAAATCTGCTTACTGTAGTCTTCTCTTGTAGTTAATCTGTTTTAATTTAAAATTAGTTTTTAAAGCTGCTCTTACCATTGAGTATTTCTGCACCGTCTTTATTGTGTGCCTTCTCTTACCCCGATACACTGCCGCCCATCCTTGTCTGAGAAACATGTTGTGTAGCAGGGTTAATTCCTCAGATACTACCCTGTATTGTTTTCACAAATTTTTTTCCAGATTGATTTTTCAGCTGAAGGACTATAATCTGTAAACAATTAAAATAGCCCTGTATCCACCTCAAAATTTAAGTTTCTCTTCTTTCTAATATTGAACATTCCCAACAACCAGTACCTAAACCAGTTTGATTTGTTGGCCTTCTGCATTACTAATGATGTAGTAATTCATCCAGTATATTTCTACGTAAAAAATGTTTCTATGTTCTATGTTACATGTTCAGTATATTTCTATGTAAAATACTCTCTTTAGCAGGATGAAGTTAAAGGAAGTAGATCGTACGGCCATGCAGGCATGGAGCCCTGCCCAGAATCATCCCATTTACCTAGCTACAGGTAGGTTCAACAGAGAGAAGATAGAGAGTCACCTAATTTCTTCTCTTCCACGTCTAACTTATTCATACCTGTCCTTTAAGATTCAGTGCAGGCTTCATCTCCTCTAGAAAACCTCTTCTTCCCTGGCAGTATATCCTCCATCCTCCCTATCAGCTGAGTTCAATGATGTTCCTCTCTGTTCCCATAGCACCTTGCACAACATAGCAGTAAACATGATATATTACGTTTATAATGTCTTCTCCACTTCATAAGAATTGTGTTATATCTTTATTCCTCCAGTATTAAGCACAATAGATAACATGTAAAAAAACAGTTAATAAATGTCACTTTGAATGAATGAAGAACGATATTGTTGCTAGCATTTGTATATAAAAAGTTAACAGTTATATCATTTGTGACTATAAGCAGATGTAGTAAATCACAGGACTGTTTTTACAGAGAGCTTTTAAAATATCTACATGGGGCCGGCCCGGTGGCGCAAGCGGTTGAGTGCGCGCGCTCCGCTGCGGCGGCCCGGGGTTCGCTGGTTCGGATCCCGGGCGCGCACCGACGCACTGCTTGGCGGGCCATGCTGTGGCGGCGTCCCATGTAGGGTGGAGGAAGATGGGCACAGATGTTAGCCCAGGGCCATCTTCCTCAGCAAAAAAAGAGGAGGATTGGCGGATGTTAGCACAGGGCTGATCTCCTCACAGAAAAAAAAAAAATAAATAAAATAAAATAAAATAAAATAAAATATCTACAGGCTTAAAAAATTATCTACCCATTCTAACAAACATCATCTCCAAGCCTTGTGTCAGAATCTCATTGTTATAGTAATTTAAGCATCTGCTCAATGGTGTGTGTGCTGAGATTTCAGCCACTAATGCAGCATGCGTGAGTGAGATCATTGAAAAACATGCATTTAATTTCTGTTTTGTATGGTTTTCTCTTTGTCTTTTATTTTTGCATGTGTGGTTACCATAAATGTATTTTCCATAGGAACATCTGCTCAGCAATTGGATGCAACATTTAGTACCAGTGCTTCCCTTGAGATATTTGAATTAGACCTTTCTGATCCATCCTTGGATATGAAATCTTGTGCCACTTTCTCTTCTTCTCACAGGTATGAGATTCAACCTTAAATTCACATGATTATTTAGTTATTGGTTGTGGTTGATGCCTAGTTTGTCTATAAATATGCCATTGGTTGTGGTTGATGCCTAGTTTGTCTATAAATATGCCATTATTAGAAACTGCAAGGAATACCATCAATGATATGAAATATTTTGTGAAAAAATTTTTGAGTGAATTTCTGTGGAAGTAAAAGAAATGTCTATCTTTTCTGTTGACTTTTTTATTGCTGACTGTTCTGTGTAGGATAGGAAGGAGAGACTCTAATTTCTGTACTTTATTTCCTCATAGTGTAGTAGAGCTACTTCCTTTTATCTCTTTTATCTTACCTGTTTACAAAAACAGGTGGGTATTACTAGAAAAAGGGGTAGTTGGATGAATATTAAGATGTTAGTGGTAGGTTGTTTTTTTTTTTCCTTGTACTTATCTATATTTAAAAACATATTTCACAGAGAATTGTGTTGACATGATTTCTGATACAGTAGGTATTTGGATCACCTTTCCAAGTACTTGCACTGTATTGTAATGCAGAGAAAGGACACTTTGATTTGAGTAGTAAAACATGCTTTATTGCCTCAATGGCATGGCAGATTTTGGTGAAGAAATTATACCTTAGCTAACAAAATACAGCTCAAATCATGGAGTCTTATGGGACCTCTCATTTTTCAGAGCCCTCCCACTGTGATGGGAACCCCAGATACCTTTTTTCTAGTAGCACCATTTGTCTCATTGTATACCTCCATGCCACCTTCGTATTTCATCTCTGTGCCAAACCATAATCTTTTATTCTCTACTAGTAGGGGTACTTGTCATGATAGACATAATTTTGATGTCACTTTTCTACTTTCAGAATACATTATTTTTCTTAGAAAATTTCAGATGATTTGTTTAACAACCTTTACTGTTTAATAGACCACTTGTTAGTGAGTACTTCTGTAGTCACATAGAATCAAGGGAAGTGGTTGATTAGCTCTATTTTACAGATATACGAAAAGCAGCTTAGGGAGATTAAGTAGCTTGCCCAGGGTCTCACAGTTTCTAAATGCTAAAACCATTGTTATGCCTGTATCTTTTGACACACAAATCACTTTATCACACTATATTATCTCTACAAAAGAGTTTTTTATTCTTTAAGATTGCAAAATCAAATATGCATATGTGAGTATAAGTAAAAACTAAAATACCATTTCAAGTCATACACAGTTACCAGGAATAGAGGAGAAGCAATGTTTTTGGAGTATTGATGAAAACAAAGAATTAAATTTATAATTTCAAATTCTTTTCTACATTTATTTGACTTCAAAAATGAGTTATTTTACTCATTGTGTCTTAAAGGTACCACAAGTTGATTTGGGGGCCTCATAAGATGGATTCCAAAGGGAATGTCTCTGGAGTTCTGATTGCAGGTGGTGAAAATGGAAATATTATTCTTTATGATCCTTCTAAAATTATAGCTGGAGACAAGGAAGTTGTGATTGCCCAGAATGACAAACATAGCGGCCCAGTGAGAGCCTTGGATGTGAACATTTTCCAGGTTAGACTTTTGACATTTATTCATAATTCTTGAGATGTGTGCTGCTTGTTTGGAATAAGTGTATGAATCTACTATGCCTCAGTCTTGGAGTTGAAAGCTAAAACTCGGTGCCTGTGCAGGTCGATGAGTGAGTATATTTGTTTGAAGAATGAAGGGTTCAGACTTGGGTTCAGGGTGAATAATACCAACTCCATGGAAGGGATCAGGCTGATGGATTTAATTCTAGAAGTCTGGAGATGTCATGCCATCTGATTGGACATTTTTTAAACGTTAGGAGCCCCAAAGGTTGGAATCCTTGCCTTTTAAAAGTTTTTGCTAGTTCAGCATTAGCTAGTGTTATGGTGTTTGGGTTAGTCCACTGTTTTATTAATTGAGAAATTTTCTATTTATGACAAAGAGATTACTACTCTATCAAATAATTAGAAATATACACAAATATAGTGCAAACTTAATAAATAGGCAGTTAAGAGTCTTTCTACTATTGCCATCATAAACGTTACTGAATATCAGTTATATAAATGTATATGTTAATAAAGATCTTGAGTTGAGGATACTCGAGTATAACAACCAAAAAATGAATGTTATCTTAAGAAAGTTGAAAATAGTTATTTTTCTTGAATTATAGACACTTAGGGTATAGAAATACAGAAACGCAAACTTCTTCATTTCTACAGTTTATGTTGTCTACTCTTTAGATTAGATAGCTAGTTCCTTTGTTAATTGGATTAAACAGCTGCTGGTTTTTGGTTAGTGTCTTGTATTATAGGTGGCTACTACCATAGAACTGCTTTATTTTCATAATTATATGTCAGTTGATCAGAGAAGAATTTATGAGAGTGAGCAATAAAGGATGAAGGTCAATATATGGAACTCATTACCTTCCTGTACTTCATATCCCAGTTTTAGGGTCTTTTGACCTAAAGGAATGCAACAGAGATAACCTAGAAATATTGCCACCTGGAACAAGATTGAGTATAAATGAACTAGAAATACGTGAGAATTTATGACAAGTTACTTTACTAGCCCTATCTTGGTCCAGCTCCTTAAGTTGGCTTTGAGATATCCTGAGATAGATGCCGTTATTTTAGGATTCCATTATTTGTCTGAAAGCAATAATTGGTGACCTACTTTTGTCCTCCTACAATCAGATCCCCTTCCAGAGATGCAAAACCACAAATGATAACCCCATACGGTTGCATGATTGTTTAAGAATTTGTCCATGTAATTATTTTTTTAATGTCTTGTATTAAGATGTCAGTAGACATATTACCTTTTTAGTTAAATAGAATTTTATAGTATGTTTCTCTAAAGAACTATTTAAATTTTAAATTGTTATGCCTAGTATTTAGGAATTCTTGCGTTTTGCTTTTTTAATTAAATGGAAAAATTGTATGCCCTAAAACTGATAGGTCTTTGTGAACTGAGTTATTTTGAGTACTCTTAATTATTCATAAGTGCTATTTAGTTATTAATTATTTTGTATTGCAGACTAATTTGGTAGCCTCTGGTGCTAATGAATCTGAAATCTACATTTGGGATCTAAACAATTTTGCCACTCCAATGACACCAGGAGCCAAAACACAGGTATTACATTGCTTTCAATGTAATCAAAATCAGTTTTTCTATACTTATTTATTTCATATTTTTCACATAAAATATATTGATTTAAAATCAATGTTTAGATGTCATTGATTTTCCTTCAGTGTAGTAAAGCATTAATAAATGTTTCTTCGAAGTTATCAGTGAGTCCTTCAGTGGCAAGTATTTATTCAGTGTCTGCCACCTGCCAGACACTATTAAATGTACTGGACGTACAATAGTGAATGAAATAGACAAGTCTTTAATAATTTTCTTAGATATAGTATTTTATATAGTACAGTATTTTAAATTGTATAATATTTTAACAATATCCAACCTTAAAATAAAAATCATAGACTAGAAAGGATACTTATTAAAAAACAAAAACCTCAACCTCTTTCATATGTATTTCTAATAACTTGAGAAAGAACAGTCCTCCCTTGAGCTTCTTTATGTTGTATAGACTATTCAAATTTGAGTAGCCGTTATAATGGGCCCTAACATTTTGGCCATCTGAGAGGTAGCATATGATAGCATATGATCTACCATTTATAAAGATATTTTTCTAACGGTCTAGGCTGTAACTTCTGCTCTGCCTAATTGTTCATCATATTGACCAATATCTACTTTGTGGCAGTTGCAAAATAAAGAAACTGCTTGATTTATAACCGGAGCTTAATAAATGCCTGGTGAATATGACAGTATTAAGGCAAAAATACTTGAATTGGTGTACACTTGGACTTTAAACTGTCTTCTTTATATTGTATAACTTGTACATTTATATAACTTTATATATTTTTATATATTATAAATATTTATATATTTATATATAATATATAAATTTATAATATAAATAATTTATATTATAATTCATATAATATTGTATATTTATATAACAATATATTGTCTTGTATGTATTGAGAGCTTAGGAATATAAAGCAAATTTGTGGAATGAATAGATCAGATTTTTAAGTAATCTATTTTTTCAAAAGATCAGATTTTGTAGTTAAACTTGATTATTAAGTGAAAAATGGTTTTTAGTAGTATATTTCTTATAGCCCCCAGAAGATATTAGCTGCATTGCGTGGAACAGACAAGTTCAGCATATTTTAGCATCAGCCAGTCCCAGCGGCCGGGCCACTGTATGGGATCTTAGAAAAAATGAACCTATCATCAAAGTCAGTGATCATAGTAACAGGGTAAGTACATGATTGATTTGTGACAAACATATTGTTTTTCTGCTGTAGGTATTCCTGTATTGTTTGTCAGAGTTGGCAACAAATCAGATTTCTAGAAAGTCAAATCCTGTCTTTTCATGGACCAATCGTGTTGGAATGAGAGGTTTTTTTCCTTGGGGAAAATAATAAAACTCCCAATAAACCATGTTGGATATTATTAATGAAGAAAGAGATTGGTTAATCAAGGGGCTTATTCCGTGATAAACTGGTGTTTTGCTTTGCCAGCTGTTTCAAAGCATCACAGCAACTTCTTAATTCATCTTGAGCTTTCTCTAGAATGTACAGATTTTTCCTGCTAGTAATTTTATGACTGTGAACTTGTAGTTTCCAAACTCCTGGCTTCATCTCTTCTGATTAGTTACTGCTAACGTGAGCTAATGTTCTTCCTCCACTTGCCCATGGACGTTGTTGTGTAACACATTAAATTTTCCACTTTAGGGGCCAGCCCTGTGGCTTAGCGGTTAAATGCGCACACTCTGCTACTGGCGGCCCGGGTTCGGATCTGGGTGCGCACCGATGCACCACTTGTCCGGCCATTCTGAGGCGGCATCCCACATACAGCAACTAGAAGGATGTGCAACTATGACATACAGCTATCTGCTGGGGCTTTGGGGAGAAAAAGGGAAAAAAGGAGGAGGATTGGCAATAGATGTTAGCTCAGGGCCAGTCTTCCTCAGCAAAAAGAGGAAGATTGGGATGGATGTTAGCTCAGGGCTGATCTTCCTCACCAAAAAAAAAAAAAATTCCACTCTACAAATTCCTTAATATTATGTCATCATCATATTATGTGCTATAAAATAATTTAGGCACTATTTAAGGCCTTGTTTTGTTAGTTGGTTTTTAATTACATTGTTTAGTTTGACATTTTAAAAAATGAGCTTGCCTAAATCAGAGAATGCGTATATAATTTAAAAACAATAACAACAAAAAACTGTTGAGAAGAATACTTCTTCAAGGTACTGTTTTTCAGTGAATCAGGAGTTTTAAAACAAGTTTCAATGGAGTAAAGCATGCAATAAGCATTTCAGTTGTCTTCTGGAATACTTAATAGGAGATGAACTTCCAGATAATTCTCAGTAATAATGTTAACTTATCACACGTGAAAATTTAGATGGTAGTTGTTGCTTTAGCCATTTTATCTTGATGTTTCTGTTAAAATAGAGGAAAGGTGTGGATTTTTTTGCAATTAAAGTCTTTTATCTCTTTATTTTCATTTTTCTGAAAGTATTAAATTTTAAATTTATATAAAACTTTTCTCCTGGTTAAAATTTTGACTGTAGAGTTTTTGGTATAGGATTATTCTGGCCCAGAATGGTTTTGTGTATCAAATAGCTGGATGAATTAAAACATTTAAACTTTTTACTTTAAGACTACTGTTTAAGACTGTTTAATAAAATACAAGTTTTAGGTTTTGAGGTTTTTTTAAATAAACTAAACCTGAGCTGATGTTTTCTATTTGTTTCAACAAAGGCATATTCCTCAAGTTCATTTTGGCTTTTCATAAAGTAATATGATTGATAAAATGTGAGCCTTAACTATCTGCAGATGCATTGCTCTGGGTTGGCCTGGCATCCTGATGTTGCTACTCAGATGGTTCTTGCCTCTGAGGATGATAGGTTACCAGTGGTCCAGATGTGGGATCTTCGCTTCGCCACCTCTCCTCTCCGTATCCTCGAAAATCATGCCAGGTATCATGCTCCTCTCCTGAGGAACTTAATTTATTTATTTTTAAAAACATATTTATTTACTACTTTGAATTGTCAGATTATTTTTTATTAAATTTCGCAATCTACTATGCCTCTGTCTTGTAAAAGTTAGTATAAGTGGTTTGTTTTTATTTTAAACAGTAGCCATCTGATTTTCTATACCAAAAAACAATAGCCACATCATTTCATAACAACATGAAAACGTGTCAAAGGATTTTCTGCTACTTGTTCAAGTAATAATTAATAGATCAAAATTCCAGTATATCACAACACTTTGGGACAACTCTTGACATGATACAGTTTCATCTTTATTGAGGACATCATACTCATGAAGAGCCTTCTGTAAAAGTCATTGTGAAGCAACAATTGAAAAGTTTGTTTTATTTCTAAGTTTTTATTTTAATTTAAAAGGAAACATTTTTGATAAGTTAGGTGGTTCATTCTGCTTTCAATTTTAATAAATGTGCGAATGCTCTAAAAAGATATAAGAATTTTCTCATGTTAGTTTTAGTAGCATTAAATTTAATTAGTAATTTGATAAATTTCCTATCATTGATATTCAGGTGCCCAGGGAGTTTATGCATATTTGTTCAATGTTTTTAAACAAGAATAAAATCTCTTTTAATATTATAGTATTTTCTAAGTACTTTTGGGCTTTTTTCTTCTTTCCTATTTAGGGATATATAGACTAAAGCTTTAAATCCCTTTTTCCCCTGTGTAGTGGATTTGCACACTAAGAAACCTTAAAGTCTGTGACCTTTCGGTGAGCTTCTTATAAAGGAGAAAAGAGTCTGGTCAAAATGTAATCCTATTTAGATGTTATGCTTTAATCAGCTTTTTAGTAAAGGAGGGAGATTCTGAGAGTTTTAATATTTTTCTCATGTTAGATAAGGTTTTATTCATTCATTCAACACATACTTATTCAACATGTATGTACTCTGTCCCAAGCACCGTACTAGGGTTCAGTAACATAACTGACAAAAATCCCTACTGTCAGGGAGCTTACATTGTAGTGGGAGGATAACTAACAGTTATGTAACATGTAAAGTGTTTAAAGTGCACTTTAAATGTTAGCTTGATTAATCCTCATAACAACCCTGTGGTGTAGACAGTATTGTCCCATTTTAAAGATTGGAAATTGAAGCTCAGCAAGGTTAAACTTGGCCTCAGTGACAAAACTAGTGAAGCGGTGACTTCAACCCAAATATTCTGATCCCAGAGTCCATGCTCTTAACACTACATTCTACTGCCAATTTTAGGAATGGCCATAATTTAGCAAGAGAGAAAATTATGCTGGGTGCCAAGAGCAAATAAACCTCTCTAATTCTCAGTTTTCTCCCTGTGAGTTTCTCTCCTTTTTGTAGTAAATACAAAAGTTGGATCATATGATCTTTAAGGTTCCTTTCAGCTCTACAATTCTGTGATATTTTTTTTAATACTTAGAACCTAAGTGTTCTTTAAAATGTGATATTAAACATGATATGGATTTCTGTAAAAGGCATTCTTGACATGCCTTGAAATTCTCGACCTGCGTGATTGAATTCTAAAGGGGGAAGGCAGTTATAAAGTACATTATTGGTATAAAAATTGGGAAAAGTTGAATATGGACTCTGTTTTAAAGTATTGCATGTAAATAATAAATATTTTTAGTATGTAATTGTATTGTGGCTACATAGAAGGAGAATGTTGTTATCCCTGGAGATAAGTGTAGGGGTGACGATTCATGATAGCTGCAGTTAACTCTCAAATGGTCAATATATATATTGACCATTTGAGAGAGAGAAAGACATTAAGTAAATATGGCCAAATCGGTGAATCTAGGTGAGGAGTGTAAGGGTGTACATCGCACTGTCTTTATAATTTTTACAAAGATTTTAAGTTTTTAAAAACAAAATGTTGGAAATAAAAGGCATTTTTTAAAAATTATTTTATTGAGGTCATAATGATTTATAACATTGTGAAATTTTAGGTGTATATTATTATTTATCAGTTTCTGTATAGAATGCATTGTGCTCACCACCAAAAGTCTAATTTTTATCCGTCACCAGATATATGTGCCCCTTTACCCCTTTTTCTCACCCCCTAACCCTCTTCCCCTCTGGTCACCACTAATCTGTTCTCTTTGTCTATGTGTTTGTTTATCTTCCACATGTGAGTGAAATCATGTGGTGTTTGTCTTTCTCTGTCTGGCTTATTTCGCTTAGCATAATACCCTCAAGGTCCATCCATGTTGTTGCAAATGGGACAATTTTGTCTATTTTTATGGCTGAGTAGTATTGCATTGTGTATATAGATACCACATCTTTATCCATTCTTCAGTCGATGGGCACTTGGGTTGCTTCCATGTCTTGGCTATTGTGAATAATGCTGCAGTGAACATAGGGGTGCATGAGTCTCTTTGAATTGTTGATTTCAAGTTCCAAAAGGCATTCTTAAACAATCTGAGTCCTTTTCCTATACTGTATTTTTCTGATTATGAGAGGACTTAGATTGTAAGAAATATCATTAAATTAAAACAAGTTTTTGGGTAAAGAAAAACACCGCTCAATATACACATTGATAGTGAGGCTTATCTTTATTTTGGAAATTTTTTTTAAAACTATATATCTTAGAACTACTGTAATGTTTTCTGGAGAATTGAAGGATATTAGTTTATATGTTTTTGTTTTAAGAAATATGCAAACATCATTCTAGTTTTTAGTATTTTTTTGTGTCTAGTATTTTCTAGTAATATTTCTAGTATTTCCTACCATCTGGTATTTAAATTCTAGTTTCTAGTATTTTCCTTCATGATATGGTAATGTTGACTTTCCTTCTTCCATCTCTAGACAACAAAGGCATGAATATAGAAAAGACAAACTGTTAATAGTGGTTTTTTCTAGATAGTGGAATATAGGGTATTTTTATTTTGTTTATGCAAACCTAAATTTTCAGAACGTTTACCAAAAAATATTACTTTTGTTTTACTTAGGATAAAAAAATCCAAAAGTTACTAAAACACAAAGAGAACTATAAAATTATATCTTTGGTATTTAGATCTGTAACACTTCTTTGTGAGATAAATTTTTCTTTTAATTAAAAAAACTTCATATGATAGGAGAACCTTTCTAATAACAAAAGATAGAAAATGCAAACAAAAAATAGAAAGTGTGAAATAGTTATATTTCTAACCCATCCATGGGTAAAAAATTTTAGTGTGCACATCTTAATTTATTTGTATATACAAAACCTGATTTATGCAAATATTTAATTATATTTTTTATGCAAATTTATGCATGTAGTTAACCTATTCGTTAATTGTGAACACTGTATAATAGTAAGAAATAGATTGCTACAATTTGTAACTATACTTTTTCTCATCAAAAGATGATCTGTAATTTATTATTACATAGTCCATGTTGGGCATTCGTTTTCATTTTTCACTATCATACACTGCACACTGTATTGAATATCTTTGTAATGATCAGAGAGCATATATATTACTAAATTGCTTCCTAGAAAGATGGTATGAAATTATACTTCTGTTAGCAGTGTGTGTCTCTAAAGCCTAGACAGAAATAATTTGGAGATTTGGTTTTCTCAAGATTAAAAATTTCTTCATCTCTTTGTGTTTTTATAGGGGGATTTTGGCAATTGCTTGGAGCATGGCAGATCCTGAATTGTTGCTGAGCTGCGGAAAAGATGCTAAGATTCTCTGCTCCAACCCAAACACAGGAGAAGTATGGGGAGGAAATGTTTCTCAGACTTATAGCTATCATAATATTTTTTTCCTCTCTCTCTCTTTTTTTTTTTTTTTTGTGAGGAAGATTAGCCCTGAGCTAACATCGGATGCCAATCCTCCTCTTTTTGCTGAGGAAGATTGGCCCTGGGCTAACATCTGTGTCCATCTTCCTCTACTTTATATGGGATACCATCATAGCATGGCTTGACAAGCAGTGTGTTGGTGTGTGCCCAGGATGCGAACCCTGGGCCGCTAAAGTGGAGTGCGAGCACTTAACCGCTACACCACCAGGCCGGCTCCTCATAATATTTTATCTCTAACTGAATAAGAAGTTTTCCATGTGGATTCTGTAGTGCATTATTATAATTAAGGACATGTGACAGTAGATAGAGGTGTGTGTGAAATGTTAATCTAGCAGAGATTTTATCAGAAATATTATCTAATAATAGATATTGAATGATTTCCCTCTCTTTCAGTATTGGGCAAGAGATGATAGATTTTAATTACACCTTTTAAACTTTTACCTTTTCTAAATTAAGATACATTATTGCAAGTGCTTTGCTAGTTACCCCCATGGAATCCTAGTAAAAATAAGAGTATCTTCAATAGGTTTTAGTCTATCATATTTAAATAAAAGGAAGCACATTTGTTATTTGTTTTGTGGCTTAAAGTTTTCAGATACAGTGATGTCAGTAAGAATACAGAAATGTTAAAGTTAGGGGAGACAAGAGAAAAAATTAGTACTAACTTTTGCCTCATGATTTGTAGACCTAATAATAAAAATCTTCTATTTTACACTGTGTCTTCCCAGTGAGTTAAAAATTCATGGGAAATTACTGTTCTAATTCTCTCAGTTATGTAATTTGATAAAATGAATTTTTGCATATGATTAGTGGTGTGTGCTTGGATTTTGAAGGAATAAACTTTCAGTGCATGCTACAACTAAAATGAATGAGTAGATTTTTTAATGCAAATGTAGATTAGGAATAGACAAGTGATTTAAATATCACAAAGCTATGAGTCTTAACCAATTTAAGCATCAAAGACAAGCAGGCTAAATACCTTTTCACTTAATTCTGTTTTCTTATAAAATAAAACGTTATTTTAAATGTCACATGAAGCCACAGTTAAGTTAATTTGACTTATTTCTTTTCTTTTTTTTTAATTCCCCCCCCCCCCCCCCCAAAGCTTCAGTAGATAGTTATATGTCATAGATGCACATCCTTCTAGTTGCTGTAGGTGGGACACGGCCTCAGCATGGCCGGAGAAGCGGTGCGTCGGTGCGCACCCGGGATCCGAACCCGGGCCGCCAGCAGCAGAGCGCGCGCACTTAACTGCTAAGCCATGGGGCTGGCCCTGACTTATTTCTTAAACCCGTAAAACCTCTGCTCCTATGAGCATCAATTACCATTACACTAACTTTGAGTTAGCAACAGTTATTACATTGTAAAGGTTTTATATCATCCATTTTTTATATTTTTCCATATTCTTTTCCTTTTAAAGAAAATTGTTTGTGCCAAATTCTTTTTCAATTCAGCAGTAATAAGAATGATGTGTACATGTTTTCTCGCTTGACCGAAAGCCAGATTTCTCAGTGAATTCTTCCTTCTCAAGATTATTTTTTAAATTTGGTCTTCAAATAGTCTAAATATGGATATTTGAATCTTGGCAGGCGAAAACAGTTAGCAGGACACCATCTACCTTTTAGAGTTTAACAAGTCGATTCTAATAGAGTGTTCTGGTCTTTCAGATGTGTCCCCTACTACCATTTCAATAAAAACAGAAAAACTTCGGTTTTTAAGATATACTTATTCCAAATCTGGTCAAAATTTTAGGTAGCATTCCTTTTTATCATAACAAACCATCATAATGGACTTTTCTTACTTTAAAGAAATTTTTACAGTTGTTTTTCCTGGTTAAAGACACTTTCTAGGGCCGGCCCCGTGGCTTAGCGGTTAAGTGTGCGCGCTCCGCTGCTGGCAGCCCGGGTTCAGATCCCGGACACGCACTGACGCACCGCTTCTCCAGCCATGCTGAGGCGGTGTCCCACATGCAGCAGCTAGAAGGCATATGCAGCTATGACATACAACAATCTGCTGGGGCTTTGGGGGGAAAAAATAAATAAATAAAATCTTAAAAAAAAAAAAAACACTTTCTAAAAGAAAATATTTAATTAAGCTGTAGTTGTTGATTGTATTAATTTAGGTGTTTGGGCTATAACTGTTTTCTGACTTTTTTTTTGGCCAGGTGTTATATGAACTTCCCACCAACACACAGTGGTGCTTTGATATTCAGTGGTGTCCCAGAAATCCTGCTGTCTTATCAGCTGCTTCCTTTGATGGACGTATCAGTGTTTATTCTATCATGGGAGGGAGCGCAGATGGTTTAAGGCAGAAACAAGTTGACAAGGTAATAGGAAGTGTTAAGATTTTTGATTATAACATCTGAAAAAATCATCTTATTGTGTAATTATTTTGAAAATGTCTTTACTGATTAATTGGACAGTTGTGATAAAAAAATTCTTGAATGATTTGAAAACATGTAATATCGTTTTGTATAAGTTACAAATTCTCATGTTGTTATTTTTTTTAGCTTTCATCATCTTTTGGGAATCTCGATCCCTTTGGCACAGGACAACCCCTTCCTCCATTACAAATTCCTCAGCAGACTGCTCAGCATAGTATAGTGTTGCCTCTGAAGAAGCCACCCAAGTGGATCCGAAGGCCTGTTGGTGCTTCCTTTTCAGTAGGTGGATTTGTTTTTATGATCCATAAGCACAAAGGAGTTATCATAGTAAAATGTTAGTACAGGATCATTCAGATGGAAAAAGATTGCGTTTGAGATGTGTTTGTGGAGTTTTCATCAATCAGATTAGTGTCTCAGGAGCAATGGGACCTAGTCTCTTTTTTTTTCAATTGTGGTAAAATATACGTAACATAAAATTGACCATTTAAAACGTACAGTTCAGGGACATTAAGTACATTCACATTGTTGTGCAACCTTCACACCCATCTCCCTTGCCTTATTAAACTTGTCTTTCTTCTCTATCTTGCCTTCCTTCATTCCTTCCCTTTTTTTGGAGAAGGATGTCATTCCTTCTCTCTTTTTTTGGAGGAGGATGTGTCCTCCTTCTTTCTCTTCTTCCTTTCCTTCTAGGTTTTTTTTAAAATTGTCAATTTCTTTTAATTTTTTTTATGGTAAAAAACACATAACATAAGATTTTACCCTCTTAACTTTTTTTTGTGTGTGTGAGGAAGATCAGCCCTGTGCTAACATCTGCCAATGCTCCTCTTTTTTTTTTGCTGAGAAAAACTGGCCCTGGGCTAACATCGTGCCCATCTTCCTCCACTTTATATGGGATGCCGCCACAGCATGGCTTGCCAAGCGGGACATCGGTGCGCGACTGGGATCCGAACCGGCGAATCCCGGGCCGCCACAACGGAGCGCGCACACTTAACCGCTTGCGCCACCGGGCCGGCCCCTCTTAACTATCTTTAAGTGTACAGTACAGTATGTTAACTATATGCATATTGTTGTGTGACAGATCTCTAGAACTTTTTCATCTTGCAAAACCGAAATCCTATACTTATTAAACAACAACTGCCCATTTTCCCCTCCCCAACCAGTGATAATCACATTATGAGTTTACTTTAGATACTTCATATAGATGAAATCATGTAGTATTTTTCTTTTTGTGTTTGGCTTATTTCGCTTAGCATAATGTCCTCAAGGTTCATCCATGTAGTGTATGACAGGATTTCCTTCTTTGAAAAGGCTGAATAATGTTCCATTGTATATATATATACCACATTTTCTTTATCCATTCGTCTATCAACGGACATTTAGGTTGCTTCCACACCTTGGCTGTTGTGAATAATGCTGCTATGAACATTTGTGTGCAAATATCTCTGTAAGATCTTATTTTCAATTCTTTTGGATACATACCCAGAAGTGGGATTGCTGGATCTTACGGTAATTCTATTTTTAATTTTTTGAGGAACCTCCATACTGTTTCCCATAGTGGCTGTATCATTTTACATTCCAATTAACAGCGCACAGTAGTTCCAATTTCTCCATATCCTCATTAACATGTGTTATTTACTATTTTTTAGATAACAGCCATTCTAATGGATATGAGGTGATATCTCATTGTGGTTTTGATTTGCATTTCCCTGATGATTAGTAATGTGGAGCATCTTTTCATGTATCTTGTGGCCATTTGTATGTCACTTTGGAGAAATGTCTGTTTAAGTCTTTTGCCCATTTTTTAATCAGATTGTTTGTTTTTTATTGTTGTTAAGTTGTAGTAGTTCTTTATATATTCTGGATATTAGCTCCTTATCAGATAAATGATTTGCAAATATTTTCTTCCATTTGTAGTTTGCCTCTTTACCCTGTTGATTGTTTCCTTTGCTGTGCAGAAGCCTCATTTGTCTATTTTTGCTTTTGTTGCGTGTGCTTTCGGTATCATATCCGAGAAATTATTGCCAAATTAATGTCCTCAAGCTTCAGCTTAGAAAACTCTGGCCATTCCTGTAGACCAGAAAGAAGAAATAAAGTCTTTTCCTAAATATTCTTATTTCACTTCTGTTTTTAAAAATCTTGTATAGAACAGTCCATTTGTCCAATGTTGGGTTACTCTCTCCTACAACCTACACGTTTAATAAAACTTCATTAAAATAATATTAATAGCTAAAATGTATTTCTTACTTACTATGTGCCAAGCACTGTTCTAAGCATTTTGCATATAGCACCTCATTTAATTCTCACAGCTACCTTATAAAATAGCTACTGCTATCACCTCCATTTTGCGGATAAGGAGAGGCACAGAGAAATTAACTTGTCTAATCTTAGAGTTATAAAGCTTATAGCTATTCTACTGCCATTGTGATCAAATGCCTATTGTACATAATGATGAAAGTGAGTCTCTTGGTAATAATGCCTGAAAGTTAAGATATTAAACTTAGTATTTTGTTAAACTTCCCCATCACGTTTTTTATCATCATAAAAGAATTTTACACATCATAGAATTCTATATATTCACCTTTCCCAAAACTGAATGAATCATCTCCAGTGCAATTACTGTTGAGTTCTTGCTGTTGAGTTCTGATAACCATGTTCTCGTATTCATTCCTCAGGTCTGGGTATCGATCTCTTTGTAAATCTCTTGGATTTATTTCTTCCTTTTACATTGCTATTACTCGGCCTAATTCTTCGTCTTTTCACACTGACCTGTTACATGATTGCATGTCTGTTGCTTGTCTTGTTCCCCTGCAATCCATACTACATACTCTAGATTAGTCTTCCTAAAATAGACCTTTATGTCACTCATAAATCCATTTTTTGGATTTACTTAATCTTCTCATCCTTCCTGTCTGATCTTCTCTACTATCTGCATTCCTGCCTTTGAATCTTTCTTTTGTTTGTGACTTTCCACTTTCCTTACTGAATCCTAACCATCCAGCTAGTTAGTTCATTCTTTGTTTAAGTAATTAAAACATTTATTATTACAAAATTATATATGTACAAAGTTTAAAAGAAAATCAAACTGTACAGAAAAGCTCCTCCCCTACCCCCAAATATAAGTTACTTGAGGACAGAGACTGTCTACTTCACAGGTATATTTTCAGTGCCTAGAATGGTGCCTGACAAATAGATGATGTTTACTATATATTTATCTTTGGAATGAAAAGTGAACGTCTTCCTCCTCTCATATCCCTCCCTCCATTGACTAATATTGGAGTATTATAAAGACAGTAAATAACACTCCTTTCTTCCCCATATGAGTTTGGAACCAAGTAAGAGAGATAGAGGGACTGGCCTGGTGGCCAGTGGTTAAGTTCACACGCTCCACTTTGATGGCCCGGGGTTCCCGGGTTCGGATCCTGGGCGTAGACCTACGCACTGCTTATCAAGCCATGCTGTGGCAGGTGTCCCACATATAAAGTAGAGGAAGATGGGCATGGATGTTAGCCCATGGCCAGTCTTCTTCAGCAAGAAAAGGAGGATTGGCAGCCGGTGTTAGCTCGGAGCTAATCTTCCTCACCAAAAAAAAAAAAAGAGAGAGAGAGAGAGAATCAGAATATCAGCTTTAGTGCAGCCATAAGCTAGATTAGAGACTATAGTTTAGATGTGCAGCTATATGGACCTACTAACAAGCTAGAACGTAGGCTCCGTTAGAGCTGGGCCTCACTCTTATTCTGTTTGCCTCTATATCCCCAATATCTCATTCAATAAAGATTTTTTTAGCTTCACCCTTGTATTAGGCAGCCTTACCAACCTAGTTACAGGGAGATCTAGGTACTATAGGACTTTCCTTGAGGTGCAGGCAACTTATCTACATGAACTATTGCTCTATGCAGGCAGACATACAAAAAGAAGCCCTGGATGTGCAGCTATGACACACAACTATCTACTGGGGCTTTGGGGGGAAAAAATAAATAAATAAAATCTTTAAAAAAAAAAAAAAAAAGAAGCCCTGAAGAGCTGATGCCAGCATGCTGCATTTCTTCCCTGTAAAACAGTGTCAATCCGTCCTCTCCCAGGAGAGTGGAAGGACAGAGAGAGGCTGGAAGTGTTCTTCCTCTGCTCTTCCCTCTGATAGAGCGCAATAAAAATTCCCTCTCTTTGGAAATGAGGAGTAGAATGTCAATGTCCCCTTCAAATATCTTTAGGTTACTGTTATTGAAGTTTTAGAATTTTTGGTTATTTTATGATTATCTTTATAAATGTAAATAATTTACCTAAATGTCCATGTCTTGATGTATCAACTTTATATAGTATTAATTGAAACTCTTCTATGCAGTATTAAATTAGTGCATTTATACTTCCTTCTAATTTTTCCGTTTTTTTCTTTCTAAATTTTTTGTTTCTTCCAATTTTTGTAAATTACGTTATTTTTACATTGCTAAGATTTAAAAATATTTTTGTGTTCAGTTTAAGTTTTCAAGATTTGTTTTAGTTCATTTAAAAAACTGATGACTAACAGCATTTACATTATTATAATTATGTGATATTATAATATTAATATTAGATAGAGCCAAATAAATGAAGAAACCTAATCATCTTGTGAAACCCAGCTTAGATCTTGCTTCTGGGTGCAGTTTTCCCTCACTTCTCTAGCATTTGGGGAAACCCAGTGGTTTTGCCCTTCGGTGAAATTCCATATCATGTGTAGTATTATCTGCACCTCATTCAGCACTTATATATGACTGTTGTATCCAGTTCTATTTTCATGTTAAGTTCCTTAAGGATAGTGGTTTGTGGTTTCTTCTGTCTTCATATTTCCTACAATGCCTGACATAACAAACACTTTGAAGATATTAAACATTTAATAAGATAAATTTGTGTAAAGAGCATAATCTTTGTATAGTTACTGAGTATAAAGAACCAAATTTGGTCCTGTGTTTCCTTCTTTACCTATATTTATTTTTATGAATATATTAATCAGATATTAACTATCTGCTTGCTATATACAAGGCAGATATTGGGTATTGTAGGAAGTACAAGAATAAAGTAGACAAAGAGCTTTTCTTGTAAGTATAGGGGAGGCAGAACTTTGTATCTGCCCTCCTAGAGTTTTCGGCTGGGCCTGAGAATTAAATTGACATAAGACATTAACAGGAGAAAAGCATACAGATTTTTACATGTACATACATGGGAGCCCCCATAGGGAAATGAAGACCCAAACAAGTGGCAAAACCTAAGTGTTTATATACTAGGTTGAACAAAGAATGGCAATTGTGGAAAAGTAACTAAAATTTATAGAGAGACTAAAGGGAGATAATTGTTCTTTAAGAAGGTCTGTACAAGAGTTCTCTCCGCCTCAACTCCCGTCTCTGGTGATAATGTTTCTTTCCTCCTGGTATAGGGAGAGCAGCTCTCACATGGGAGTTTCATCTCCTGCTTTCAGGAAGTAAAGGGGAGTTCAGAGTGCCTTTCTTGCCTCTGCTGTTTTTCAGGTAGTGTTTAGCTCAAAATAATTCTTATGCCAAATGGCATATTTTGGAGTGGCGTATTCTGCTACCCTTTAAAATTTAGAGCCTACAACAGAAGGTGAGGCAAATACATATAGCTAATAGTTGAATCAAAAGAGATATATAATATACTGAGGGCATCTGGGATGGAAGAGGTGGCATTTGCCTGGGCCTTGAGCAGTAGCATTGAGTATGTGGAAGTTAGTAAAAACAAGTAGGTGAGAAATAGTGGGGCTCAGTAAATAGTATATTTCATCTAGAAGGTGGGTGGTATGAGAAGGAATAGTAATTGAAGGCTGGGGTCAGATTGTAGAGTATGGGAGAGTGTATCAGATAATTTTATCCAAAATGATATATATTTAGGCCACGATTCTTTCCGTTAGCAGGTTTACAATAGCATGTTTTTTGGCCACATCCTTGTGATTCAAACTGATTTTGTTCATTTGTTCTTTCATAGTTTGGTGGCAAACTGGTTACCTTTGAGAATGTCAGAATGCAGTCTCAGCAGGGAGCTGAGCAGCAGCAGCACCATGTGTTCATTAGTCAGGTTGTAACAGAAAAGGAATTCCTCAGCCGATCGGACCAACTTCAGCAGGTTGTGCAGTCACAAGGATTTGTCAATTATTGTCAGAAAAAAATTGATGCTTCTCAGACTGAGTTTGAAAAAAATGTGTGGTCCTTTTTGAAGGTAAAGTTGGTTTTAAAACAATTTTATTTCATTATCTGCAAATTTAACTGTTTCTGTTATATTCTAAATCTTTCTTCCTATTAAAGAAACAGTTGGAAGAATGTGATTTTAGGAATTCATGTTGAAATTAAAGAAACCTTATGAAGTGCACATGACCTAACTTTTTATGTCAAGAGTTCTTCCTTCTCTGCTTTGAAAAGCCCAATATGAAGTACTTTTTTTAATAAGTAAAAAACAATATAATAGATGTATTTAAGTGAGAGAGACATAACATTCAGTAGACGTATTTGAAAATTAGAACATAAAGCTTAGTATAATAAAAACATAAAATATTTATTTTCTGTAGTAGATCCAGTTAAAGAAAACGGGAAAAGAGGCAAGAGGTATAGTGGAGAGAGGTTGGAGGTGTTTCTCATCCCTTTTACTGAGTTCCATTTATGGCGGTAGAGTAAAAAATAGAATTTTCTGGTTGGTCATTTTGCCTCTGCTGGAATATCTATTTCTTGATACTGAATTTTCCAAAGAAAAGAGATCTTGAATACAATAAGGTTGAATTTTAAAATTATCGAATTTATTTTTATATTTTGTAATTAAATAATAATTTTGGGAAAGAGTTTTAGGACATTGAATGTTCCACATCGTGTGAGTTTTGCATTTATATAGCCTTTGGACACGAGTTAGTTTGTATTTACAAAAGTTACAGTTTATGGGGCCAACTCAGTGGTGTAGTAGTTAAGTTCACGCAATCTGCTTCAGCAGCCTGGGTTCGCAGGTTTGGTTCTTGGGCACAGACCTACACAGAGCTGATCAGGCCATGCTGTTATGGCGTTCAACATACAAGGTAGAGGAGGATTGGCACAGATGTTAGCTCAGTGCTAATCTTCCTCAAGCAAAATATGAGGAAGATTGGCAACAGATGTTAGCTCAGGACCAGTCTTCCTCACCAAAAAAAAAAATTATAGTTTAACAGTAAGCTTTGTTCAACTGGGATAATTAATTACTAGTATACTTACTATTAAAAAAAGCTTGTTAAAAAATAACTATTCTTTGGATTCTTTCTTATAGTGAACCTTCTAATTGATATAGTAGGCTTTAGATATAGGAGACTTTAGATATTTTTAATCATTCTACTTGGACTTTTTTTTATTCATTAAAAATTAGGCCTTTAACTGCAAGTCTTTGTTTCAAGAATGTGTATTTTTTAAAGGTAAACTTTGAGGATGATTCTCGTGGAAAATACCTTGAACTTCTAGGATACAGAAAAGAAGACCTAGGAAAGAAGGTAAACTTTTGGGAAAGGTAAAAGGCTGTGCTTATACAAGTAAAATATTTATGTAGCATAGGTGTTTTTTTAATAAAGTTCTACACAGATTATCTCAAATCATTCAATAAACATTTAATAAGAATTTGTGTTTGGTTGCCAAAGTTTTGAATACATACTGTTAAAAGTGAAGCTCCACACTATACTTGGATTTAGAAGTTGCCAGGACCACCCTTAATTCAAACCTGATTTAAAGAGCTGTGTTAGGGAGAACTAGGCTTGAAAGATAAGAGGCTGTGAACCTCAAACACTGGAAATAATGCTTCAGTTTTAACAGGGTGTGTAACCAGTGGCCCTCGGGGAAAAGAGAGAGGGCAACTGTTAGAGATCACCCCGCATGGACTACAGCTTAAGTCATGGAAAATAGGGTACTGTTTCAGACTATTAGGATTTTCCACCCTAGCTCGTTATGCCTTTAGCCCACAATTCCCAAACTGTGTATTGAGTTGGTCCAGCTAACAAGTAACTAGTAAATATTTTGCAGCAGGGGCAGTGTATTGTACTGAACCTGAATAAACATAAAGTCCAAGTGATTTGCTTAATATTTTAATTAAAAAAAGACTCCCTTGTAAAAACAGGAAGTCATATTTCAGTTTTATAGTTTTCTTCTCAAAGAGAGACTTAATTATTATTCCACAATGTTGACATGAACAGCGGTAAAAACGTTGACTTTGGAAACCTTGAAGGAAATAGATTCTTTGACGGTGTGATGTGTATTAGCCCTCTGTCATTCTTCGAAAGTGACTCAAGTTTTCTGTAGCATTGCATGGTTGTCGCGTGCATGGTGCAGATTGGATACTGCGCACTCCAGGCAGGACCCGGCATGTTGGAGATTTCTGCTCCTCTGATATCACACGGACCTGGGGCCACATCACAGCCGCACTGCTTACTGGCTTTGTGTCTTTGCTTACTCCTTTAGATTTTTTATATTTAACTTTATTATTAGTCTAAACTGCTTGATTGTATAACTTGTTTAGATTTGCAGGAGATTAATATGAAAGTTTTACTTCCTACCTGCTAGCAAAAAATGAGGAGATAGAATCTGATTGTCAGAATACTTCTAATAGCAGTTCTTTCTATAGTGAGTACCTGAAGAAATATTTTTTCAAATTAACTATAGTTATTTTATTTAAAACAAAGTAGAAGAAAACATGCTTGTTTTGAGGTTAGTTTTGTGATTGAATAGCTGAGTGAGATGACATGTGAGCAGTAGAACTCCACATGATTGAAACTAGAACCACTGAGAATCAGTTCTGCACAGGTTTTATTCTTTTCTTAAATATACTATCCTGGATCTGAACTTCTGTGGATTTTTGCCAGTGAAAATGGAGTAAGAGGTGAAGATTTGCTATATGCATTGAAATAGAATTCCATTTAGTAGGCAAGTTGTTGTTTTTATTTCAGATTGCTGTGGCCTTGAACAAAGTGGATGGAACAGATGTGGTAAGAGAGCCATCACAAATAGCTGCCTTCTAAAATTTGGTTTAGGTCATACCAAAGAAGGAAATGTAATTTTAGAAATTTATCTGTTTTATTGCTTTACAGAGTAAAAATAAATGCTGATTGTAGATATTTTAATAAATGAATAATTCTCATTTTAAAGTAGCATAACTTTAGCTAGTAGAGCATTCCTTTTTCTTGATGGTATTTGAATTTTTGCAAAAGAAGAAAAACAAAATCAATGACTACTCAGATACTAGGTAAGATCTTTGTTGCTGAGGAACACTTGGTAGGAAAGAAAGGGCAAGTCTTAGCAGTAATGGCTCTTTCCTTTTCCTCTAATGGTGTTTCTCAAATAAATTTACTTAGTGTTGCTTCTTATGATTAAACTTGCTCTGAATGTCGTTGGTTGCGTCTTTTGTCTTGCTTGTTCACTAATACCTTTTAATGCTGCATTCTTCAACTTCCTCTGTAATTGTTTTGTGTACCAAAGGCTCTTAAAGACTCTGATCAACTAGCACAGAGTGATGGGGAGGAGAGCCCTGCTGCTGAAGAGCAGCTCTTGGGAGAGGTATTTACTTTTTTATTTTTAATTACATTAGAAAAATATGTGATATTTATCTCACATTGAAATACAGAAAATTTCTTGACTACTTGTTCCAAAATAAAGCTGGAGTATATTGTTTTCTTAGAGGTGTTTAAGGTAGGAGTCTATTTACTAGTTTGACAGAAGTATCATCTCTGAAATCTTTAGTTCTCTGACCTAGCTTCTGGATTATATGGTTTAAAATTAACAGTTGGTGTGAGATTAACTTAATTTGGTTGGATGGATATCAAGATGTCAAACTGAAAAGAGATTTTATTCAGAAATCCACATTGCATTGCATATAAAGTTAATGCTTTTTCTTGGCACATTAATATTTAGGGCCCACTATCAGTGGCGTAGGCTTCTGAATTAGTCTTGAACTTTGAGTCCAAGAAGAGAATATTTCACTAAATAAACTGATTGTCATGATTTACTATAAACATGTCTTGAGTTGTAGTTGACAGTTTTTCTATAACTAGTTAAAAAAAGAGTCCTTGAACAGAGTTGTATCATTCATTTTTTTCCTTTTAATTTTATGGGGTTTTTTAACCACTAACAAATAATTCTGTAATTTACTTTTCTTGCTTTCTAATTATATTTCGTCTTTGAAAATAATCAGGTTCTCATTTCTCGTCTCATTTGTGACTTTCTCATTGTTCTTTGTGGTGTGGGGATATCCTGACTATGGAATATTTCTTACAGTCTTTTACTAAGTTATAAAAACAATTCATCAGTAAATTTAGACTAGCCAGCCCTGGTGGTCTAGTGGTTAAGATTCAGCTCTCTCATCGCCCCGGCCCAGATTTCTCTCTGTCAGGGAACCACACTACCCATCTGCCAGTTGTCATACTGTGGCAGCTGCATGTTGCTGTGATGCTGAAAGCTATGCCACTGGCATTTCAAATACCAGCAGGGTCACCCATGGTGGACAGGTTTCAGTAGAGTTTCCAGACTAAAACAGACTAGGAAGATGGACCTGGCCACCCACCCTGTGAATAGCAGCGGAGCCTTGTCTGATATAGTGCCGGAAGGTGAGAGGATGGCGCAAAAAAGAGACCACGTGGAGTTCTGCTCTGCTGTACATAGGGTTGCTGGGAGTCGGAATCGACTTGACAGCACTAACGACAAAAATTTAGACCATTACAAGATGATTATAAGAAACATTGTCCTTAAAAGTGGATCTTCTAGCTTAACCTGAGAATAAAGGATATAGGTAAAATCTTACTAAAAATTTGAACTAATTTTGGGACTACCTAGACAGAATTGTAGGATACATTAAAGAAATGTACTTCCATTTGTGTACCGATAGATTAACTGTTATCAAATAGAGGACCATTTGAAAATACACTCATGAATTAATAGGTAACAATAATATGTATTTAAAAAAACAGTAATCATCAATGTGTACTTAGAGTATTTGAAAAAATTTTGTTTAAGTAGGTAAAATCTTCCCCTTTATCTTGATGATGCTATTTGTTTATCAAACATAGTAGCTTACACACTGAAGATACTCAACACATAATAAATTGTGCATTTTTATCTTATGTATATTTCAGAAGTCTATAAATAAAGGTTTATTAACTGTTTTTGGAAAGCAAATTTGAAAAATTGTGAGTTGAAAGAAAGAAAAGGTTTTTTTGATAAGTTTGTTATGAATATAATGAGATCAGTATCTGGTTTATTCCTTAAGGTGAATACTTCAGTTGTAAAATTTTTTTGAGTTTTTAAATTCTAAAATGCTTCTCTTTAGTTGGGGAAAGAATTAAGGTTATGGTTATTCTCTTGTAATAGTCAATATTAATTAATTAAGTATTATATACAGATGATGCTATTTACTCCTCTGCACTAAAATTGCCCAATCCAAAAATGCCCCTGGCTTTGAATGCGAGGCACTTACATTCAGATTGTGTAGGCAACACAAGTGTGGAAGATAGGTATTTTATCTCATGCAGCACAGCTATGTTTTTATTTAAAAATTTCTCTGTAATCTCTTTGATATATTTTATTTTTTGTCTTCTTGTGAATTTTTATGCATAGAAAACAAAGTGTTTCCCAGCAATATGCCTCCATTACATTTCTTTTTTTCTAAAGAAAGAAAATATTAAATTTGTTTTTACGCAGTCTTACAAGTTGTCTTTAGAAACTTATAGCAAAACTGTATGTATTTTTACCAAACCAACCTGCTGTTCCAGGTATGACTAATTTAAGAGAATACAAAATCTGTAATTGAATTTGAGTATATTTACTTGTTTGTATTGCATTTATATAAGGACACCAAGTGATTTTTTTTTAATGACTAATTTAATTAAAACAAAAAGACCCTGTAACTAACCCTAGTGGACAGAAACTTTTAGATGTGTAGAAACAGGGTTGTTTTAAAATCTAAATATAGTATAATTAAAAACATGTATATTTTGCCTGTTTCAGGCTACTCTTAGTTGAGATATTTAAGAAAACAAAGATTCTTCAGCTTCAGTAACTTCTGAGCTACCAGTAATGGATAGGTACACTTAAGTTTGTTTAACATTATTTCTGATGACTTTGGATTTTATATACAATTGTATAACGGGAGTTAATACTTAGGGAAGTCATACATCTTCATGTAAACTTGGATCTGAAAACTTTTCTGGAATAACTTGGCATGTCATCTAGTCAAGTAGGTGAATAATCATATATAAATTTTTTTGCCAGTAAATTGTTTCACAGTTTCATTCTGGCTAAATTGCTGCCCTTTCCATCTCTTTAGCACATTAAAGAGGAAAAACAAGAATCTGAATTTCTACCGTCAGCTGGGGGAACATTTAACATCTCCATCAGTGGTGGTAAGTACCTATTGGTTTTGATTTCTGACTTTTTTTTTAACCATTTGAAAGCAAATAGTCCCTAAGTTTAAGTTAGAAATGCTGTGTCACAGGTGGTAGAGGGTTGAAAAGAAGAACTCAGTTATCATTTAGTATATGTAATCAATGCCTTGGAAATGGTCATATGTTCTGACATCTAAGTGATATATAAACTATAATGATCTTTACTATTCTAGTTTAAGCAATCTGGAAAATGTCTTATTTTACCTGATTATACTTAACATGCATCTCAGTATATTTCCATAGATCTCAACAGCTTGTGTTAGAAATTAATCCCCCAGTAATATTCATAAATTAATATTGTGTTCTCCATTGATATGTGTGGTATTTTTTCTTGTAAGAAAAAATTTTGTGTAATGTGAGTGTATTATTTCTTTATTGCAGATATTGATGGTTTAATTACTCAGGCTTTGCTGACTGGTAACTTTGAGAGTGCTGTTGACCTTTGTTTACATGATAACCGCATGGCTGATGCCATTATATTGGCCATAGCAGGTGGACAAGAACTCTTGGCTAGAACCCAGAAAAAATATTTTGCGAAATCCCAAAGCAAAATTACCAGGGTATGTTATTATAAAAACAGATAAACAATAATATTTATCGGATTGTAAAAGCAGTACACTCTTACTATAAATAATTGAAATGCAGAAAAGAGTAAAGAACAAAAAACTCACCCATAATTTCTTGACCCAGAAATAGTTATTGTTAATAGTTTGGTGTGATTATTCTAATTTTTGTTCTTTGCATATATAATTGTTAAAATGAAAAATAGTTTTCATATTTTTATCGTAGAAAAGTTAGAATGTGGAAAATTTTAAAGATAAAAATTTTAACACCCCCTAATTCTTCCGTCAGATTGGTATGTATCTTTTCTTACCTCTTTCTATGTATTTGTAGAATTTTTTAAAACAGAATGAGGATCAAATATGTATATATGTTTGTGGTTTTACTTATAGATATCGTCACTTATATTGTGAACATTTTTTCCCATATCATTAAAGATTCTTACAAAAATTTTTAATTGCTGTATAATATTCTATAGTAAAGATATATTATTTCCCTTATTTTGGGGTGTTTGGGTAATTTCTAATATTTTCATAATATGGGTAAGATAGTGATAAACATTCTTGTTGTGCCTAAAGATTTGTACGAATTTCTAATTGTCTAATGAGGCTGTAGGCCTAGGAAAGGAGTTTCCGGTGCAGAGGGTCTGTACATTTGTAAGCCCATGCTTGATGTTATTACATTTCTTACCATAAAAGTTGTCCCAGTGTTCAGTCTCATCAGCACTGGTCGTTGTTGTCTCCCCAGCCTTGTCTTGTGTTGTGCCCTCCCCTGTTGTCTTAGAGCCACACTGGCTGGCTTGCAGTTCCTCGTACACTCCATGTGCCTTTCTCCGTCGTGACTTTACACCTAGTGTTCCTTTGGCCTGGGATGTTTTTTCTTCCTGATGAAGTCAGTGCTGACTTTATGTCTCAGATGTCTGTATACTCAGAAAGTTTTTCCTGATCCATCAGACCAGGTCATGTCTTCCTGTTAAATGTTTTGATAACACCCTATACTTCTCAGCATTTTATACAATACGTTTGTGCGATTTTTTTTTGAGGAAAAATACCATCTTTTATTTCAGTTGGTTCAAAGATGTACTTCACTTTGCTGCTGCTTTATTCTGCATGAAATAGTGTCACTAGTAGTTTTGAAAGATATTATTGGTTATCCAGAGTTAATTTTTATTAATATACCAAAGGCTTTTAATTCTCCCTTTGTTTTCCTTTCCCAAGCTAATTACTGCAGTGGTAATGAAGAACTGGAAAGAGATTGTTCAGTCTTGTGATCTTAAAAATTGGAGGGAAGCTTTAGCTGCAGTATTGACTTATGCTAAACCAGATGAGTTTTCAGCCCTTTGTGGTAAGAAAAGGAACTTTATATTTATATTACATATATGGCATGGTATATTGTAAATAAAATTAATGACGACTTTTATTAGAAATTTTTGTAAACCTACTAATCACAAATAAGAAAAAGAGGTTCTCATTTGAATACTTTTCTTGGAATTATTAACTACATTACTTCCCCATACCTAGTCATTATTATTAATAATGCTGTTTAATGATTTTGGTTTCAGACAGACCAGCCGTGGAATCTTGCCTCTGAGAGTTACTAGCTGTATGACCTAGGAAAAATTACTTTCTAAGCCTTAGTCTATTCATATGTAAAATTACACATAATCAGCTCTCACTTAATAAATGTTAGCTTGATAAAATTAATAATTATAACATTTGAGTAGAAATTACCATTAAAGACCATGGTTAAACTGGTGGCTAAGGAATAATATTCATTATTTGCAAGAACAGAAGCTTCAGGCTGCTAGTATAAGAACCAACAACCGTGTGCTACTTTGAAGGTATTATGAGAATATGAAAATTATAAGATATTAACTTTATTATCATAAATCATTTATAGCAGTCTTAGCTACCATTGATGTTTATTTCAAATGCGTCATATTTTAGTCTACTGCTTACAGAAGTATCTGATGTAATGAAATGGAGTTAAATGTTCATTAGGATTTTTCTGTTCAAATATTATTCCCATTTATTATTTTTTCTAATATAATTAATGGGAATGCATTCTGCAGCAAGATATAGACTCTTGTGAAATCATTTATTGTATATAGTTTGTCACACACTTCCATTCATTTAACAAATAAATATTTACTGAGCATTTACATGACAGTGATTTTGTCTCTTCCTGCTACTTATTGGTTGTGAAGTTTAATCTGTACTTGTGAAAATATTATTGGGCTGCTCACGACCTCATATACAGGTTGCCTTGGATATAATCTTATTTTGTTTTCCTCTTGATCTATAGATCTTTTGGGAACCAGGCTTGAAAGTGAAGGTGATAGCCTCCTGCAGACTCAGGCGTGTCTCTGCTATATTTGCGCAGGGAATGTAGAGAAACTAGTTGCATGTTGGACTAAAGCTCAAGATGGAAGCAACCCTTTGTCTCTTCAGGTTAGTATCTTTGGAATGAAAGGTGCTTCCTTTTTAGTGTTGTCTTTCACCCTCCTTATATTCTAAAAATTGATTTGTTCCAGAAGTTTATCACTTTCACCCTACTTATTTACACATTAGAAGTTTTTGTGTTGGATGATTATGTGTATTTATTGCTATATTTGGAGGGGCAAAGTTTGAGATGATGGGATAGTAACATGGGGTTGCAACTGTTTGTGAGATCATGGTTGTGACTTGGTAGTTTATTGGGGGAAGTAGGTGGCAAGAGCATGAAAACGGGCCTAGGGTTTACCTCTTCTTAATCATGCTCCCCTCTCTGCCTCCAGTGACCCTGTCTGCCTTGGGCAAAGAAAGAAGCAATGTGGGGTAAGGAATGGGAGGCATCCCCAGTACCAGTAGAGAATCTTCATGATTAAGGGAAAATGGAAGTAAGGGGTAAAATGGAATCCCATGTAGCACCAGTACCCGGGCAAGAGAGGAAGTGAAAAAATGTGGGGACTGTTCTCAGGCACTGGGTAACTATATGTTTAGATTTTTGTCCTAAGCATTTAACCAGCAGAGTCTCATGATATTTCAGCCTAATATTTATTTTTCTCTCTAGAAAGAGATTTTGTCAGTAGGGTTGTTGCTTTAAAGATCACTCTATTGAAACTGAAAATCTGGTACAACATCAAGATTTTCATTCTAAGTGTTTCTGAGAGAAAACACACTTGTTTCACACTCCTGGATTTGTGTGCCTATAAAGGGCAGGATATTCTTGTGCTTTATACCTGAAGCATAGCTCCCCATTGTTGAAAGAATTGGTCTTGAAGAGCAACATGAGAAACTGGGTGACATTTGGATGTCACCTCGTAGTAGTACTGTTTTTATAGTACGTATAGATAGTATGATGTGTTCTCTCCTAGTTCCTCCTGTACCTACAGGAACACAGTTTCTCCCTTCAGACCTCTGCGTATCACTTTCAGTTTGGATATATGCCTGTTTTAGCTCACAAGACAAGTATCTGGCAGTTTAAGGATGTTTTGGAGAAGGTAGTAACCTATACCCCATCCATGAGTAAGAGACCTTCCTCCTTACTTTTTCAGTTCCGTAAATGGTGGTCAACTATACCAGACCTTTCTAAGAGAGATGATGATAAGTACTGTACTTCTAATAGGTTTTGGAAATCTTAGTAATTCATTATCTTTTCCAGCTTCCTCTCATACACATCTTGGTATCTTTGTTTCTTTCACTCTTCCCTTCTTTTTCTCATTTAGGATCTGATTGAGAAAGTTGTCATCCTGCGGAAAGCTGTACAACTCACCCAAGCCATGGACACTAATACTGTGGGAGTTCTCTTGGCTGAGAAAATGAGTCAGTACGCCAATTTGTTGGCAGCACAGGGCAGTATTGCTGCAGCCTTGGCTTTTCTTCCGGAAAACACCAACCAGGTAATTAGAATTGATCATTTTTCTTCTTTTAATGTCTAAGTAAAGTGAGTCCAGTAAATAGCACTCAGTATTCAACATAAGCATACTAGTAGGTGGAATGTTTGGGAGCAGTTGAATTTCTATTACCTGCGTGTAGGTGAATGTTATTAACAGTTCTTCAAGGATCATTTACCCAAGCTGTGTCAGAAAGGTAGGATGCTCTTGTAGTGTGATAGGTCCCTTTGTACTGGGGCATAGTATTTGAGGAAAATAAGTGGGAAAAGAACCAACTTTTTGTTTCTTTAGCCAAATGCTGATGCTGTGTATAGGGTTCTTTGTATGAGTCTTCTATGTTGAAAAGCTATAAATGTTAATATTAATGTTAATTGAACAAATGGGGTTCTAATTTTTAAATTCCCCACAAGTGCCACCCCAGATATTAGCAAAGAAATTCATTCTATATGCCACTTCAGTCTGATACCATCTGTGGGTGAGTATATTTTTAAAGTATTCAAGACAGAGGGAACTACATTACATTCCTAATTTAGCATCTTCATTTGGTGTGCAGTAAAACTCAGGCTTTTTCATAATTTTTGTTTCAATTCAATTCAATAAGTAGCTGAACATACAGTGATGAACAAGAATTGTTCTTGTTGAACAATTGTTCTTGATGCACAAGCTTTCTAAATTGTTAATGAGAATATTAGATAGAATAGCAACATAGTCTTTATGTTGACTTTGGCATAGTAGTTTTTTGGGGTTTTTTTGGTTTTTTTCTTTGTGAGGAAGATCAGGCCTGAGCTAACATCCATGCCAATCCTTCTCTTTTATTTGCTGAGGAAGACCGGCCCTGAGCTAACATCTATTGCCAATCCTCCTCCTTTTTTGTTTCCATTTTTTTTCTCCCCAAAGCGCCAGTAGATAGTTGTATGTCATATTGCACATCCTTCTAGTTGCTGTATGTGGGACGCTGCCTCAGCATGGCCGGACAAGCGGTGTGTTGGTGCGCACCCAGGATCCGAACCTGGTCCACAAGTAGCGGAGCACATGCACTTAACAGCTAAGCCACGGGGCCGGCCCCCATAGTAGTTTTATATGACTTTTTACTTAATAGGGTCTCATTATTATATTGAGATATAAGACCCTTTATTTTAAAGATTTTTTATTTATTTATTTTTCCCCCAAAGCCCCAGCAGATAGTTGTCTGTCATAGCTGCACATCCTTCTAGTTGCCGTATGTGGGACGCAGCCCCAGCATGGCCAGAGGAGCGGTGTGTTGGTGCGCACCCGGGATCCGAACCCGGGCCGCCGGCAGCACAGTGCGCGCACTTAACCGCCAAGCCACGCGGCCGGCCCAGACCCTTTATTTTAAGACTAACTTAATCTAAGACCTTTAGATCTTCTAGCCTCAGAGTTAAACTCTATTTCAATACGATTTATAACCACGTACATTTTCTGTACATTAGTCTTCATGCTTTTCTTTGGACTTTTAACGAGCATTCTTTATGCAAAAATCATAATTTTGATGTTACTTCCTCCTGCATATCACAGTAGACACTTAGTGTTTTCTGGGGAATATATCCTGAGACTTTGTGATGTCATTATATAATTCTCCTCCATAAAAGGCAATAAAGTATACCTAAAAAGTTTAAATGACATCTTGAAACCTTTAATGAATTTATGGAAATCTGTACTTTTTAAAGATATTAAAATTCTTGCTGAAATATGTTAACATTGCTTTTTTGTTGTTTGTTATTATCTAGAACACGTATATGGTCAACTCATATGTTTTGTAGATCTGGATAATTGTAGATGTGTATAAGCTACCCTAAGTTTAACATCTTACTCTCTTAATTTATTTCAAACATCTCTTTTTTAAATTAATTTTCGTTTCTTTCTTAGATCACCATTTTCTTCCATTACCATCTTTAGCACTTGATTCTCTTTGGGGACCTTTTTTCCCTACAAAGAAACAAAGTTAGATCTTTTTAACTACTTTTGTGATTTGTGAGAATTAGTTGAGTACAAGAAAACAACAAAAGAGCAGTGATGATAAACCACATTGATCTTACATACTACTCTGTGGCGGGCAGAATTCAAATCTCAGCCTGAGTTACATTACAAGTTACACTATGTATCATGGACCTTTGGTGTCAGTCTTGAGTATTAGAAACCATGATGTCAAAACCTAATGTACCAGGGTCTGTTGTATAATACACAGCATATGGACAAAAATCATATGCGTGATCAAGCTTACTTTAAGAAAATCAACATGCTGTCATATAGTTGGGTGAACTCTAACAATTTGCTTTGTTTTCTCCCATTGCTTCTTATAGCCAAATATTGTGCAGCTTCGTGACAGACTTTGTAGAGCACAAGGAGAGCCTGTACTAGGGCAGGAATCACCTAAAATTCCTTACGAGAGGCAGCAGCTGCCCAAGGGCAGGCCTGGACCAGTTGCTGGCCACACACAGATGCCGAGAGTTCCATCTCAACAATATTATCCCCATGTGAGTGATGTGCTATTCAAATTGGTGGTTTTAGTTTGTTGGGTTAGAGACCTTATCTGCTATGATAAAGCTAGACGACATATTGTTTTAATAGTTACACATTTTATATTCTTGAAAGTGGTTTTTTGGTGGTTGTTTTGTTTTGTTTTGCTGAGGAAGATTAGCCCTGAGCTAACATCTGTGCCAGTCTTCCTTGACTTTATACGTGGGTTGCCACCACAGCATGGCTGGCGAGTGTTGTAGGTCCAGACCTGGGATCCAAACCTGCAAACCCAGGGCCGCCAAAGCGAAACATATTGAAGTTAACCACTACGCCACGGGGCTGGCGCCTTGAAGGTGGTTTTTATGATCTTTTTAAAAATCATTCCTTTGATCTGGTCAAACATTATATTTTAGATATAAATTAACTTAAGCTCTCTAGGGAGATTTCTTCTTATTTTTCCGTCACTCAAACTTCCCTTGCACGTGTACATCTGTTCTTGAAAAGTCTACAGTTTGATTCATCTAACAAGTAAAGTAGCAGGAACAATGTTGTGGGTGATTTGGTTAATTTTTTGAAATATTTTTAGAAAATAGTTTTTCTTTGAGTATTCTTTTCTGACTCATTAGTATAGGTTTGCTTTGTCTTCGGTGTCAGGGTGATAAAGAGTATCCAGAATACAGACTCTTTTTGGACAACTTGGATATTAGAGAAAAGTGAATGACGGAATGTTTATGAAGCTGTCGGTCATGGAGAATGTGAAGATAGTTAGATAATTCTTATTGATTAATTAATTTACTTATTAAGTTAAAATTACCAAGCATTTAGTAGCATAAAATGTAGCCTCTTAATGTCTTTTACTATTTCATGTAGAAAATTATATTTCCAGACCAGCAGATAACCCTCATATTCTTAAATGAGAAGTATATTTTCATAAGTAATAAGTGGTCTTGACTGATAACAAAGTTAACAGGTACTCTGCCCATTTTAAAATAGAACAAATTGCTGATAGAATTGACAGGATCTTTTTTACATTTCGTTCTAGAAAAAGTAAATATGAAATCATGAGAAACTAAAAAAAATCAATTCATGTTCTTTTGTCTATTATACTTTTGATTAGTACTTAATCAGGATAGATTACACTTGAATATAACTGTAAATGTCTAGAGAACTCTCTGTTTTGTTTTTTCATTCGTTTGACAAATATCTGTTGAGAGCCTCCTCTGAGTGCCTATCTTTATTCTACCTATTGAGGATATTGGTAAACAAAACAGATTAAATTCCCCACTCTTGTGGCGATTGTGCCAGACTTGGAAAGTCTGTGACATAGGAGAGCAAATCATATGATGGCTGGGAAAACTGAGAGGTGGAGAGGTCAAGCGACCAGCCAGAGTTTTAAGATATAGAGTTTGAATTTCTCAGCATTGTGTGGCTAGTCGATGGCCAACTTGCAATTAGAACTCCCAAGCACCTTGAGTTCTGCCACGCTGTCTTTCAGGGTACCGAAGTAAGGCACTCTCTACATTGGAGGAAGAGAATATTTACTCTTTATGTCCTTGGGTTTATCTGTCTTTCTGGGGAAACATAAAAATATTGAAAGACTTTTGTTATACTTTGACTTAGCAGTTTCATACTTTAAGAAAAACAAATTCAATCATAAATTAAACAGTAATTTTTCTTGATGAAAGTTTATGAATATGCTGAATAAGGATACTAGCTTTTGGTTTTAGAGGAATATTTGTAGGCAGAAGTAAAGGGATAAAAGGGAGGCCAGATTAGTAGGAGTTCCACTCCCATTTTGACCAGCACATCTTTTCTATTAATTGTTTATATATTGGAGTTTCAACAACAATTTGCTTGACAAAAAAGATTTTGATGGCTTAAAAAAAAACCTCTGGACTGCAGGGTAAGCAGCATGGTGTAATGTAGTGAACACTGGCCTGGGAATCAGGATACTTGGAATCAGTCCTAGCTCCATCACCAATGAGTTGTGTGGACCTCAGCACGATCCTTCATTTCTCTGGGCCTTGGTTTTCTCAATGGTAAAGGGTGGGGATTAGACTGGATCAACTTGAATATTATTCTCTGATTGTATGATTCTCAGCCTCATATGGGACTAATATGATTTTTGTGGCTCTAATGAAATCCAGAAGAGGGAGCTTACGGCAATATGTTTACAGATCAAATAGTAGCATGAATACTATTAATGCTTCAAAATCACTTTTTTATTCAATTACCTTTTTTTTTGGCATGTCTTCTTTCTTTCCCTATTTACAGGACGTGGCTCTTCCCCCTTATTCTTGACACTTGAATGGCATTGTTCTTTGTGCTTTGATTTAGATTTTTATATTGATTTTTCTGCTGCCTCCCTCCACCTGTTTTGTTGTGAATGTGTGTTGTTCTTCTGGAATCCCAGCTACCTGGAAAAGCAACTGCCTGACTAATGTATGCCATCTTTCTGCTCATATTTTTTGCTTTGCATCTGGCTATTAATGCCATTTGGGTTTTTTTTTTTCCCTTCTTTTAACATTTCCATTTTTTATTTTCTGTGATTGTATTTCTTTGTTCAATTCAGGTTAGAATTGCCCCTACTGTCACTACCTGGAGTAACAAAACTCCTACTGCCCTTCCCAGCCATCCACCTGCAGCCTCTCCCTGTGACACACAGGTATATCCTTCATTATTCCTCTTTGAGCAGAATTCCGCTCACTTAAATACATATAGTTATATAATCTCTGCCCCCTTTTCTCAAGTTCCCCTCCCCCCATCTGTCTGCCTGCTTGCATTTTAATACTTTTAGGATCCAAGAAGCAGTTTTTAGCACAATTTATTTTCTTATCCCTCTCTCCTTCTTTTGCACTGCTAAATTGACTTGAGCTAGAAAAACATCAACCAAGGTTCCAACAGTGGTTTAAGTCTGGTTTCACTGAAGATTTTTTTCTTTTTCTTTTTTTTTTTTTTGAGCACTGCAGAAATTGAAGAGAAGCTAAAGTTCCCTTGTGGCATTTATTCTTATATTTCCAAGTGTGGATTAGTGGCTGGAATTTAGTAGAGATGGAAAATCCTGGTGGCATATTATAAATATCATTGACACCATTTTATGAGGCTATTAGCATCTGTTGCCATTCATTGCAGTTATTACTTTGGACCTGTCTGATCTTTAAATCACTCAGAATGTCTTGCTCAGAAAATGTGTTCTGAAGAAGATAGAATGTAGAAAATGCAATATTTCTTATGCAATAAAATTAAAAAAAAAAACAATTCCATTTCAGAGATTATAAATCTATCTGGTAAGATTCTTGGTTCTAAATGTAATCCTCCTTTTTACTGTATTCTCATTTCCCAGGGAGAAAATCCTCCACCTCCAGGTTTCATAATGCATGGAAATGTTAATCCAAATGCTGCTGTACCTCAGCTTCCCACGTCTCCAGGTCATATGCACACCCAGATACCACCTTATCCACAGCCACAGCGTAAGTAGCGTGACCCTGAAGTCCTTCCACATAGGCATGTCTTCTCTAATGTAGTAAGCGTTTACTTTGAAGCTCCAAAGCCATGATGAAATTAATTTTGACAAGTAAGGAAAGAACCATTCTGTGTAGGAGTGGAGTCCTTGCTATAGAGAAACATGGTTTCCCTAGGAAGCATCCTGAATCAACATGCTAGGAAACAGTTCCTGTGTCAGTCCATTCAGAATTGTTGGCTCCTGTTCCTGAGCCTTTACTAAGACCTATTAAACAGAGTCAGTTTTCCCATGATTTTGGTATAAAAAAATAGAATTTTAGAAATTATTTGGTACATATTCTTTTCCTTCAGTCAAGATGAGACAAATCATTTTTGGGAAAATGGTTCCAAGGGACATTTGTTGATGTTGTTTTCCATTTATTTTATTTTTTTAAGAAATAGACTTTATTTTTTAGAACAGTTTTAGGTTCACAGCAAAATTGAGTGGAAAGTACAGAAAGTTCCAGTAGCCCGCCTGCCCCCATGCACAACCTTGCCCACTTTCAACATCCTGCATCCCAGTGGTACATTTGTTAGAGTCAGTGAGCCTGCATTGACACATCATTATCACCCAAAGTCCATAGTTTACTTTAGGGTTCACTTTTGATGTTGTACATTCTATGAATTTTGACAAATGTATAACAATGACGTGTATCTACCAGTGGCTTTTGATTTTTTAGAAAATATTTACACTTGGAAAGTAAAATATCACCATTATTTTAAAATTTAAATGAAGAGCAAAAAAATAAAAATCTCAAAGGGGAAAATTATATGACTAAATAACTATTACAAAAACAAGAGGCTATTACCTAGTAAAAACTAATCTGAATGAGCATGTTCCATTCTAAAATGGATGTTCTTACTTAACGTGAATACAAATTTGATACAACTTTTCACTGAAGTGCTCAACGTGAAAGTGCAATCTTCAGAATAGAACAAGTACAGTTCTACTAGGTTCACTCCATAGAGGTTCATACCTACCCCTGGTCATGCACAATGTGCTAATATTAAGATCTCTAATCTGGATTCAGGTTTTTGCATTAAAACATTAGTTGGCTGCCTGATTGCTTACTAACCAACTATGTACACTATGTAAAATATTATATAGTAATTGTTTTGTCAGGTAGCATAGAGAGTTGACTGTTAATCTGGAACTGCACTCAAACTCAGAATTTGAGTAGCTGATGATTTTACTAGATGTTGGAGAAGATAATTTGATTCATAACAGTAGTACTCACCCTACGGTGGGGGAGATCTTAAGCTGCCTAAAGATCTTGACCTTTAGCCTTTACTGTAAAGGGGAGTGCAGTGGATGTGTAATTCCTGCATGGTTCCATCTGGTGGCAGGTAGGTGTCACTGCAGTCTTTTCACAGGAGCAAGAAGTCTCAGAAAAGGGTCAGGCTTGCAGTACTTGGGTCTGATGAGTCAAAGATTTTCATAGCCAGCAGCAATCTGGAGATGGCAGGTTTCAAATGTTGGATCCAATGACTTTTAGTACATTTAGGGCATCTGAGCTGTCAAAAGCATAACATAAGTGTTACTGTTTGGTTGTAACTTATTGTTATAAGAAGAATGATGAAAATAATTTCCATAGAATGAGATAACTTTGGTTTTCTGTTACTGTCTGAATAAACTTGTGACTAATTAAAATTTCTGTTTCTTCTCCTTGGTGTAGCTTATCAACCAGCCCAGCCGTATTCCTTCGGAACAGGGGGGTCAGCAATGTATCGACCTCAGCAGCCTGTTGCTCCTTCTGCTTCCAACGCTTACCCTAACACCCCTTACATACCTTCTGCTTCTTCCTATTCTGGGCAGTCTCAGCTGTACACAGCACAGCACCAGGTCTCTCCACCTCCCTCCAGCCCTGCTGCTTCTTTCCCTCCTCCCTCTTCCTCTGGAGCATCCTTCCAGCATGGCGGACCAGGAGCTCCACCATCATCTACAGCTTATGCACTGCCTCCTGGAACAACAGGTATACTGCCTGCTGCCAGTGAGCTGCCTGCGTCCCAAAGAACAGGTCTGCGCTTGAAAGAGATTTGGTTTGGCTCCCTCCTTTATTTTTCATGAACACATGGGTGGATAGAGGGGAATTATTTCCAGGTGTTTGTAAACTGGGTAATGTGAGGTGTTGATTGAGCTTTTATAACAAATTCTAAAACTATTTCTAAAAGGGTGATTCTCCCATAATGAACTTTAACTGCTGAATAAGGAAAGCTTTAGAGCGTCAAAAGGGTAAGAGTTTATAATCTGCCAATGAACTTAGAATAAGTGGTGAGAAATTAATTAGCAAGGTAAGTGGTGTTTGGAACCAGATTTAATTGACACTTTTTTTACTAGAGCTAAACTATGCTCTATGTTGTTACTGAGAAGTTTTCACTTTTTACAATTGTGCCTTAAACTCATTCATGGAGATTAAACTGTACAGGGTCTTAATGAGGTTGTACAAATTTTATAATTATGTTTATTTGTAAAACTTAATAGGGATCTCAGTATGCTTATCTAAAGGAAAAAAGTGAGAGAGAGCAGAAAGTCAGTGTACAGTAGTGCAGTGATTCTCCATTTAGGGTAATACCACCCTCTCAAACATTTTGGAAATTTCTAGTTTTTTTGTTGTTTTTTGTTTTTTGTCAAGTGGTATAGTTACGCCTGAAATTTTCTAATTAAAATCCTAATTTTAGGGCCAGCCCTGTGGTGTAGCAGTTAAGTGCACGCACTCTGCTGCTGGCGGCCCGGGTTCAGATCCCGGGTGCACAGCGACACACCGCTTGTCAGGCCATGCTGTGGCAGCGTCCCATATAAAGTGGAGGAAGATGGGCACGGATGTTAGCTCAGGGCCAGTCTTCCTCAACAACAAAATAAAAGAGGAGGATTGGCATGGATGTTAGCTCAGGGCTGATCTTCCTCATACAAACACATACAAACACACAATAAATAAATTTAAAATCCTAATTTTAAATTATTTTTATAGTGAAATACACGTTTTATAAATTCTTTTCCTCTCTCATGTTAGACCATTGGAGCATTATACTAATTTTTTATTGGTAGTTTATGTTATCTGATTTTCATTTTGGGATCGTAAGGGTCCTCAAAAGGATGCGTTATGAAAAGGGATCAGTGAATCAGGGTTAAGAACCACTAGCATAGTGGTTAAGACAGGCTTTGGAATTAGACTTCTTGGGTTTGTATCCCAGCTTCACTACTTTATAGTTATGTGACCTTGAGTTGAGTAAGTTACTTAACATCTTTAAGCCTCAGTTTCCTCAGAATAATAGTAGTACCTACTCATAAGCTTATGAAAATGATTGAATGCATTAATACTTTAAAAGTATTTAGGGACAGTGACTGCAAAGTTAGCTGTGATTACATAAAATCTCACTCAGAATTAGAGCTCTGTGCCTTTAGGTGTTTGAACATAGTTTCCCTGTCAGATTATAACTGATGGTTTTGAACTAGAGGGGCAAAAGGCGAGTGAGTCTTGCTTTGCTCCTAATACTGAAGGTGCTTCTGGGGATTCCAGTATATATCTTTCTCCTTTTATGTGCTAAGCAGTAGCTTTAATTACTGAAAACACTTGTCATAAAATAGGATCTATTGAAAGTATTCCTTTCTAATAAAGTCTTATGCATCCAGAATTATACACGTATGTCCTCCTCTCTTTGATATATAATATTAAAGCACAAAGTATCAAAAATCACACACATAGACACAATATGTTTCACCCTTTAGTGCACAGATAAAATTTCTATAATTTTCAATACATATACTTCAGTAGGTTGATATTCTTAGAGAGGAGTGCTAATTCAGTTGTTCAAAAAAGAGTTCAAAAAATTACCTTTTAGGGCCGGCCCCGTGGCTTAGCGGTTAAGTGCGCGCGCTCTGATGCTGGCGGCCCGGGTTCGGATCCCGGGAGCGCCCCGAGGCACCACTTCTCCGTCCAACGCGAGGCCGAGTCCCACGTACAGCAACTAGAAGGATGTGAACCTATGACGTACAACTATCTACTGGGGCTTTGGGGGGAAAAACTGAATAAATAAAATCTTTAAAAAAAAAAAAAAATTACCTTTTAAAACCTGAATCAAGGGGCCAGCCCGGTGGCGCAGTGGTTAAGTGCACGCGCTCCGCTTCGGTGGCCCGGGATTAGCGGGTTCGGATCCCGGGTGCGCACCGACGCACCACTTGTCAAGCCATGCTGTGGCGGCGTCCCATATAAAGTAGAGAAAGATGGGCTCGGATGTTAGGCAAGTCTTCCTCAGCAAAAAAGAGGAGGGTTGGCACCGGATGGTAGCTCAGGACTGATCTTCCTCACAAAAAAAAATAATGAAAAAAAATAAAACTTGAGTGAAGACAGTATCTGAATAGTTGGGTAATAGAGTTCTTGAGTGAGAGATGGGTTCAAAGCCCCCCTTAAAAAGTGGTGCAGGGAATCGAGGAAGTGAATTTCATTTATTGAACATACATTGGACGTGTTCCAGCACTTGCCATATATTTTCTTATTTAATTCTCACAACCGTGAGAAATAGGAATAATTATTTTTTTAAAAAATTGACTGAGGAAACTTGCGTTTTCTAGGAGTTTTATAACGTTGTCATGCTTGCACAGTCATAGTCTCCAAGTTGAGATACAAACCCAAGTCTCTCAGTCTTCAAAGCCCATGTTCGTCCTTCTGTACCAGATAGTTTAGTCCTGATGTGATAGAAATAGCTATCAGTGTTGGAATTACAAAAATCATTTAGCAACACTATTTTAGGGACTGGTTACTTCATCATCTAAGTTAAATATTTGCATGGGTATTTTCTTCTCCCTAAGTAAAAGTGCATTTGGCCATGAGATAACGTCTTTGACTATATACAAAGTCAGAATGTTGTAACCTGGCTGAGAAACAGAGTGACTAATAGGAAGAAGAAGCCAAACAAACATTTTTCAATATTCAGCATGCACTAAGCTAGCTGCTTTGTTACCTCTTGCATGTTAATAGTCCCCTGCACTTTAATTAACAGTTACAGCTTTACATATTTTATTTTTTGATTTCCTAAAAATTTTGCTTAGGTTATACACATAATTGTGGCTGGAAATTTTATCTTTGTTCTAATGTGTCTTAGATCATATGGTTCTCTGTAGGACTTGGAAATTCCGCTTGTCCAGCGTATAATTCTTGACAGACACTAGGATTTTTAAGCCTTCTAGCTGTTAGTGAACCGCAAAATTATGTGCCCATGGCTTAGAGAAACTAATGTTGCAATCATCAAAACATTCAGTAAAGTCTTAATGAGTACCTGTTCAGTCTATATCAGAATTATTCCAGGCAGAAGTAGGAGGCAGAAAAGGACAGTACATTTCTGATGATCAGCACATAGCTTTGCTGTAAGTTTGCACATAAAATTTGCATTTGGGCCAAATTTTGGAAAGCCTTAAATGCCAGGGTAAGAAGTTTATACTTCATACAGTAAGAAGAGAAATTCTCATGAAGGAGTTTGAACTGCTGAGAGGCATCGTCAGAGTGGTACCTGCAGGAGGTTAATCTGGACGTTCTACCAAATAGACTGTGGGCAGCATGGCGCAACCAGAGGCAAGGCAAACAGGCCCTTGCCCAGTTCTTGAGATAAAGTGGGAACAGCCTGAGTTACGATAGTGCCGTGTTGTTTCAGTGGTGGCAGCACAGAAAGCAGGAGGTTTGTTTGCCCTGTTTTACTGTCTGGGATAAGTAGGATACTGCCTGTCACTTTTTGTTTTTTTTTTTGGTCTGTCGTTTAATGGGTGCTTATTACTAAGGGAGAGCCCTTTCAAATAATGAAGGCCCTAGAATTTTACTCAAAAAGATTGTTTTCTGATAAAACGAACTTCAAGCTATCCTGAAGCTCTCTTTGAGTGAACATTGATTTTGTTAAACAATGGAAAATTTGATTTAGGTAGATAGTCTTGTGCTTCTTCACATAGAAGAGTCTTGAAGGGGCATAATATTGCATATTTTCGGGCCGGCCCCGTGGCTTAGCGGTTAAGTGCATGCCCTCGGCTACTGGTGGCCCGGGTTCGGATCCCGGGCGCGCATTGACGCACTGCTTCTCCGGCCATGCTGAGGCCACGTCCCACATACAGCAACTAGAAGGATGTGCAACTATGACATACAACTATCTACTGGGGCTTTGGAGAAAAAAAAAGGAGGATTGGCAATAGATGTTAGCTCAGAGCCGGTCTTCCTCAGCAAAAAGAGGAGCATTAGCACAGATGTTAGCTCAGGGCTGATCTTCCTCACACACACAAAAAATATTGCATATTTTCATGAAACAGTGTTGTGAAAAAAATTTTTTGAATTTTCATAAACATTCTTCTGGTCAAATTATAAGTACCTGGTTTTAACCTTTTAACTAAAGGAAAGGAGCATGATAGCTTTCCTTCCTTTTCTTCGGAAAATTCTGTTTTATCTCATGTCATTGGAAAATGACCTCAAGGATTCATGTCTTTCTAAATTTTAATTTTTAATTTTGTGACCCTTTTTTTCCCAATGTGACATGCTAGGCCTATGGGGGAAAGGAGAGGTATATATGGTTGACAAGGATGCTCTATTCTCTCCATCTCAAATTATCTTCTAACCAAAATCTCCATACCATCGGCACTAATATTTTTCTGTGAATCCACTGAAAAGTGTCTTAGCCAGTGCATACATCCTATCATTATGCTCCTGCAAGAATACCTACGAAGGTTCCCAGTGAGAAGTGGGATTCGAGTAAGGATGGTATACAGCTCCACTCTTGCATATGAGACCAAGCAGTTCCCTCTCCTTCCCCAAAGACCCTGTGGAGAACTAATCCCAACACTAAGGTGGATAAGGGTCTCCAGTATGTAGTGACATACCATATTCAGTTTTTAAATTAATTTTCCTTTGATTTTTATTAATTTTTCACTGTAGGATTTTGAAAGACTCCAAATAGCATAAAGAATAAATTTAAAATTATCTGTAATTATGACACCCAAATA